CTAAATACACATTTGGTCTGACTTAATCCTTGAGTTCTAGCAATTTTTTCTTAATGAACGTTCGAGATTTTTATCATATTTACAGATTTTGTTAAATTTGAATTGAATATAATTTTTAGACTGACACTGAGACATGTATGCTTGTTGGAACTAATTTCCATTGCTCTGTCATTTTCGTTATCTAAACGTTTTTGTTATACAAAATTTAAACATATAGAAAAATAGTTCGACTTATCATTAATCATATAAAAACTGATACAAATTTGTAAGTTTTAATGTCTTAATGTTGTCTATCGTCGTAAACACATTACATAATTATTCTAATCTGCAAAAAACGTACGAATGAATACATTAAATTTTTTTTTTAATTTTTAATATATTGAAAAAACTCCATACCTGGATCACTACAGATTTTGTTATATATTGTTACATAAAAATTGAGAATGGAAATGGGGAATATGTCAAAGAGACAACAACCCGACCAAAGAGCAGAAAACAGCCGAAGGCCCCCAATGGGTCTTCAACACAGCAAGAAAATCCCGCTCCCGGAGGCGGGCTTCAGCTGGCCCCTAAATAAAAATGTGTACTAGTTCAGTGAAAATGGACGTCATACTAAACTCCAAAACATATAAATGAACTAAAATTAAAAATGCATACAAGACTAACAAAGGCCAGAGGCTCCTGACTTGGGACAGGCGCAAAAATACGGCGGGGCTAAAAATGTTTTGTGAGAACTCAACCCTCACCCTACCTAGTTCCACTTCGTTTTCAGTTAAGCGCGTACGTGCATTACATATTTCCTGATATCTACAACATCTTCTTCGAGTACAATACCTTGTACACCTCCAATAACAATAACCGTTAACAGGATCAGGAACAACTTTAAAAAAAAATCAGTTTACTGAATATCATATATACTTATCCAGGCGAGATCTAACTATTTTTGAAAGGGAGTTTCAACACATGCAAGTCATATAAAGAGGAGGGATCCAACCATATGTCTCCATACAAAAACATTAGTTGTCAAACAAGGAGGGTTCAAACTCCCTTCAACGCCCCCTGGAACCTCCACGGCATACCTATGATGCGTTTATAAACACACTGTACATGTCTTCCCAATTTAAGACAATATAAATCTTTTTACATTTTACTATGTCATAATATAATTTGAAATATATTCACTGATTTTAATTAGTTTTTTAAATGAATGGATATTGTTGTATTGAAATTTGTTTATTATAAAATTAAGTAAATCATTTGAAACAAAATGTGTATTGAAAAATAAAATATACTTACCCATAAGACCAGCAAGAAGAAGAAAAATCAACAACATTTTTATCCCTTTTTTAATAACAGCACTATAAAACAGTAAATACAAAATCAGTAACTTTTTGGCAAAATAATTTCAAACAGCTTTAACATGCATGTTTGAAGAATAGCAAACATAATGTGATTCATTTTTGTATCGTTGAACAACGTGTAATGACATAAGAGATGAACGAAACGTAGTCTCAATATATAGTTCGTATGTATTTTCAAGCACTTAAAAATTATTTGGTAAGTCTTATCAAGTGAATAAAATTTGAAAGAAAGACAAGATAAACCACAACTTAGATGTCAATTAAAAAGCAGTACTGATTAAAAAAAAATGTATTTACCTGCCAAAATTAAACCTGTAGTTTTTATCTCTCTATATTTCTATTTTTGTTGTATATATATAATACCTAAGTATATTGATTTAAATTTCTGTAATTCAATAATATATACAGAATCAAACAATATCTTCCCGGAATGGTAATTTGGTCAAGGTTTTTTTTTAAAGAATAGTTTGAACATGCAATAGCTAATGTTATTTAGCAAAATACACAATAACTATCATGTTTATTTAAGAAAATTTTACACCATAAAATAATTTGGAACAATCTGGCGCATTAAATTTGAGCCAATTACCATTACATTTGCGCGTCGCGAAGCTTTTGATTATTTTCATTTTACAGGTAAACACAGGTAAATTGCACTTTATTCAACTATTTACAAGTATTCCCTTCAGTTTGTCTAAGTCCAAAGCTCACCAATGAAGAGGGAGAAGTTGGTTCCGGGGATAATACGCCCGTTTAACTATGCACTAAGTCCTGAAAATAAAGAAAATCTGAACTCAGAATAAAAGTAATGATTTTACTAGATGAATAATTGAAGCCCACTGCTTTAAGAAATTGAATTATGTCAACTTCTCCATTCTGGTATTTCCAGAATAATTCCATCATATACGTTGCTTTCATTTTCTTAATTCGACGTACAATTGCTGATGACAATGGTGTATGAATTCATCTTAGATAGGAAAGAGAATGTTATCCATTCTGCAATATTCGCAATTAAGTTACATGTATGCCTGAAGAGATTACATGATTTCTCATGATCACTTAATATTTTTAAAAGTGAGACAATCGGAAATAAACCTAATTGACACATACCTATGTTTTTACAGATATTAATCCCTTCTTCAATTTTTTGGACTAACAATGGGTGAGCTTGGGTATTAAAAATTAATTGTCTAAAAGCTGCATGATTTATACTGATTACATGTGATTACATTGCAAAATTATCAAACGAATTTAGCTAAAGGAATTTGTCAAGTATATTTGCTTTATACGTTTTAAAGATAAAATAGTCAACACCAACACGTCTGATCGTTAAAAGTGTACCCGGTCTACTTTTTTTCCCCTTTTTTTTTATTTTTTTTTTTTTCTCTAAAAAAAAGCTGTTGCTTGGGGCAGAGATGGAAATATAAGCTTTAAAAATATTAATATTTTTTCTTTCTATGGATTTTTTTGGACGAACTTATTCTTATGCATATTAAAGATGCAAACATATTTGCACCTACCGTAATCTACCGAGTTTTTTAAAAACTTTTCTTTAATTTACAAGTTTACAAATATTTCGAAGCTTCATACTATAATTTGAGTATAAACACTTTTATAAGCCGCAAAAAATCCTAAATAATGCAAATTCATTAAACTTTTACAGGCCATAGAATCAGGTGTAAACAATTCAAATATACCAACTTGGTAATTTTTACCTTCTCTAATAAAAAGTTTATTTTTTTTTGGTTTAATTTCAAATCCATATAATCCTGTAAGCGATTGCCTTATTTTTATCGAGGGGTCATGATTAAGGTCACTGCATACTGAAAAGCTGTCTAGGCGAATTAGAGTTCTGAAAGTGAATAATTCAATAGCAGTACATTTCTGAATATTTTGATAGAATAAAGTATTTTCTTTTAAAAGAACGTCTATGTACATGTGTTTTATAATAGAATTTAGTTATTCAATAAAAGTATATAAAATATATTCATCGTTTTTGTTAAATTTGATGTATCATATGGCTAAATGAACTAACATGTTTGTTATAAAATTTTACTTAATTAATTTGAATGTTTAGCTTTTCGAAGCCTGTGCTCTATCATGTTTCCTAGGCCTAAATTTGACTGAAATCTGGGCAATTCTGTCAATTCACAAAAATCGATTTTTTTGCCTATTCGGGATGTAAAAATCAACTTTTTAAAAGAAAACTTTGGCTTAAATAGTTTTATTTATCTTTCTCACATGTCTTTTCATCAACTTAAAACTTTTTATATCTTGAAACATTGAACTTATTAATTGGGGCCAAAGCTGTATTAGGGGTTTATTTAGCTTAGGAATTGTGTGCTGGAATCAATGACAGAAAAGTTCACCTTTTATCATTGAAAAATAAAAAACAAATATAACAAGTCGTGTTCCGTAATTAGTCCTGGTATATTTTGGTATAGTTGAAATCTTTTTCACAGATGTCTGAATCTTGTCATTTTTATATCCAAGCCTCACTCAGCACATTATTTAAATCAAAATATCTATTAAACATTTGGTTGCTGCCTTTTGTAGTTGCTGTGACAGAAGTGGTATCATGAAAGAAATACCACAGGAAAAAAATCTGCTCGGCTTTCAGAGTGTTATAAATTATAATATTACAGCATTTGATGCATGAGTCTTTTTATCTCTAAACTTTTAACAACTGTCATACAAGTTTGAGGTTTAGCTATCTATTCAACTAGGTATAACCCAACATATGGGAAAATGCCTGTACCAAGTCAGGAATATGACAGTTTATCAGTCATTCCGTTTGTTGATAAAGTCTTTCCCTTTTTGGGATTACATTGTAGTTTGGTATTTTGTTTATATTTTTTTTCTGTACCTAGAATTTATTTATAAAAATTGTCGTTTCCACAAAACGAAATCCATTAATTTAAAGATTTTTAAGTGTTACTTTGTCAAGAACCATAGTATAGGATCGGAAACTCCAAGAACTCCAAGTATGAAGACCTTATTTTTGGAGAAACATTTGAAAACTGGCTAGAATCAAGAACCAAAACCGGTCATGTTTTTTTCTTTTGTAAAATCAATATAAAAAAAGAGAAAACAATTGATTATGCTTTAGGTCTGAATAAAATATTCAAGTCAAACATCCGGAAATTGTCAAATGTAAAAATCATTTGAGTGCTTCAAAAGGGCCTATTCAGACCACATTGAAAGGATTTAACGAGCTGATTACTAGGATAAGCTGGTCTCTTGGAGAAATATTTTCAATTTTGCAAGCTTCAATTTAAATATCCACTAACAGCACTGAGAATATTATGTCATGAACCCAGAATAATTATTCGAAATACTAAGACTGCACATTTGGTAATAATAATTTCAAATTCGGAAAATGTTGTGAAAGAACGCAGAAATGGATTAACAAATATGTGTTCCAGGCGAACAAGCCAAATTTCGAGAAAATGAAATAATATCCCTTAGGAAAGAATTTATAATATTTGGGAACGAAATATTTATTAACAATGAACAAAATAATGATTCGTTGCAATATATAATTTTTTAAATAAAAAATGATTAATGTTTTGTTCGAGTCACGCTTGAGGGCTCTGTGTCTCATCTTTTAATTTATGAAAATAAACACCAACAATAAAATTAGTTTCAATATATTGTTTTATTACACGAAGATTGATCTGTTGTCTGCTGAATTTGGTCTTAGTCATCTAGTTGCCTTTGAGCTTAGCTGAAAAATATCAAAGATAAAAGTTATTTTGTAGATTGACATTTTAAAAAAAAGTTATACACTTTCTTTTTATTAGTGCAAAGTCAAAGGATATTACCTAAATCCTACGCTTTCTTAAGTATATTTTTGAATTGGTAACTTTGATGGTCCGTGCATTCACCTTTCAAAAACTTAAAGGGAATCACAAATCACAAAAGTTTAACGGACGCCATCACGAGCTGCTCAACTTATGCCAAATTAATAGTCATTTGAAAACTGTATAAAATTAGAATTGAAATGTTTCAATGATTTTTCTTTACGGTAAAATCACATTGCAACCCTATTGTTTATTATTTGCGAAAGTGTCAATATAGATTTAATGAAATCTAGTTATAATGAAAAGAACTTTGTTCCATGCCATGATAACACCAATATAATTTGTAATCTAGGAGAAAACATACCAAGTTCAACGTCATTCTCGATGGATCGTCTACCATAATTACAACGATACAATACAGTTACAATCCTATATCTACAACAACGCCAACTACAATACCTTGAACACACAAAACGATACCGCCTACAAAGTCTGGACTCGGCATTCTGAATAACTTTAAATGAAATAGATACATTAAAGATTATTGATATGACATCTTGTCCATTGATGATGATATTAGATTTTTTTTTATTGGAAAAAAAACCAACGATAAAATTTTTTTATCACGATAGCATTTTCTTTTAATATCTCTCTCCTTTATTATGCTCCAATAAACCAATTTATACCTAGCGTTTGCTTATAAATTGATTCTTTTTAGCAGCACTATTCCTTTCTTGCATTTTTTATGTTATATGAGCAACGCTACGTCTAACAACATTAGGAACGTGAACTTTTTTTTAAATGAGTTCGTGTTATAATTCTCTTTGTTTTCTGTGTTATATTTGGAATATTCTGTTTTTCAATGTATCTGCTGCTTCTATGTTTTATGGTTTTATTTTCACTTTGATCTGAAAACACTATTTTTATTTTAAATTGTCTGTCGTGAATAAGGTATAACAATTTAAGTTAAAAAAATAAGTAATAATCGTAGATTTAAAATGATATACGTACCAAGAAGACCAGCAAGAAGAAGAAAAATCACAAATTTCGACATTTCTTTAGGAAAAGTACAACTACAAAATGCATATGAAGGAAGTAACTTTACGTGTAATTGAGGTAAATTAATGTCAACTAGATTTTACATTTCTGAAAAATTATTAGAATTGGATCTATTTTTCTAAATAGTAAAGCAACGAATAAAGATATGATCAATAAATGTAATATACATAAACATGGGTTTTATATTAATTCAAATAACGGAATATTCTGTTAATCGTATTAATCATAAAAAAAAATATAAATTTTTCAATCAAAACTTAAACAATATTCAGAAAAGAAGTGAACGCAAATGTTTGACCTACCTTCACTATCTATAGTTGATATCTATATACATAATTAGTATTGTTTTGCAATATATATTGCCAAAGTGTATTGATTAAACTTCTGCAATGGAACATGTGGTCTTAAATAATATCTTCCCAAAATAAAACTTTAATCAAGGTTACATACATTTAAAAGCTTTTTGCAGATGTCAGCTAAAACACACAGAAAAATAAGATCGATTGATTGGTGTATGTGCAATAAGAATCTTATTGAGGACGAAAACAAGTTAATGTATAAGGGCTGTCTAAAAAGAGTATTGCATTATTATCATTATTACAATCAAGAAATCTGTGTTTCATTTTTTATATTGTAGCCTGTAGTCTAACATGTTTATTATTTCACACTCTTATTAGAACAATTTTTACATCAAACTCTGAAATTTGGTTGTTGAATAACTTTCAGTCAACTTTGAAGGCAACTAGTAGGACATTTGAAAATAATTCTTCTTGATATCCTGGTACTTGCAGAAAAATAAACAGTTTGTTTCAGATAAACATGAGAAGTTGAAATTACTGTAAATCAATGTTTTAAATTTGATTCCGCGTCTGAACTTTCTCTCTATATACACTAATAGTCAGCCTGAGGAAGATTTAGATTGCAATTATGTCTTTTATATATGCTCTTAATTGAAATTATTTAGACTTAATGCTCGCCCCCTTGGTACGTTGGTAGGTATATACAGAAATATCTGTTTTTGGCTAATCTAAGAAACAATGCGCCGTAATTTCAAAAACTTGATCCAATAAATACATTCGTGGACATTCTAAGGCCAACATCTCAACTTGTTTGAGATTTTATTAGAAGTTCTTATAAAACAGCAAACAACAATTTGTAAGGCTCCGGTCAGAACACTCGACCTTCCAAGCTTTAGGCAAACATGAAACATTAAACCATAAAACCTCCAAGGTGGCAAGGAAAATAAGAAAAGATTAGCATAATACGGCCAAAAAATTGTCGACAACACAGATATCAATGAATATGTTTTATTTCAGTTGTAAAATGTTTTAATAAAAATAATGTGAATTTGGACACTATTTGTAAAAATATTTGTGAACTGACAATGAATTTTGTATATTGTAATTGATGAATTAAAAAAAGTCTGATTGAAGAAAAAGGAAGAATTAAAAGGACAAAATTCAAGCGGTGAGAAACCTAGTCAAATAAAACAGAACACTACACACACTGTTGATAAAGATAACACACATGTACACAATGATACCTGTTATAATGGAGCAGCTAATAAAAACAATGTTGAAGCGGTTAAAATGAACATTAATATACCAAGTTGTGACTCTCCTGTTTTACCAGTACCAAATATAATATTTCTAAAATATGCGAATTATGCAAAATCTGAATTTGAGGCAAACATCTCCCATGGCAGGTCTGTATTCGTGTACCCAACAAGGACTGACACATCCGTACAAACAATCAGTAAAGAAGTCTAAGATGGATCACGCGTCAGAAACAAACAAAATCTATAGCATAGTGCAGAATGTCGACAAAATGTTTTAAAAGTTGAGCTTTCTTAATTTGCTCTGCGATAAAATTGACTAGTTTCATTCAACACTGAATACACTGGTGTCAAACGTTGACAATGTTACAAATAGTTGTCGAAATCGAACAGAGTTTAGAATTTTGAAATACAAAATATGAAAGCAGTAAACAAGAACAAGATACAGTTAGTAATAATCTCATCATAGACACCAGGATTGAATTTTGTACGCCAGACGCGCATTTCGTTTAAAAAAGAGTCATCAGTGACGCTCGAATCAGAAAAATGAATAAGGCTAAACAAAGTACGAAGTTGAAGAGCATTGAGGACCCAACATTCCTTAAAGTTTTGCCAAATAAGCTAAGGTTATCTATTTTTGAGTGATACCTATTCTGAGTGATATCAAAGAATTCCAACAATGCTATATAGATGTATGTTCCAATATAACAAATTTATGCTCGAATCTAGAAGATCTTTTCTTTTTTTTTTTTTTTTTTTACAATTAAACAAAACTTTATTGCACAACTGCTGTTTTACATTTTATCCAGATTACAGCGTTAGTCTGGATACCCCTGTGATTAGTTACTGAACTTCCAGGGAATAAAAAGTTCAGCAAATAAATATAAATGTTAATTTTACAATTTCTAACATTATTTCATTCCTAAACATAGTTAATATATTTCTAAGTTGGTGTCACATGTTTACGGATCAACATCATTCTACTCACCGGGTTTGACTTGTTTTTCTTGAATCGATTTTTAATCATTGACCTTTTGACCCAATAAAATTTTGAACAGGTGTATGAAACCGTTAGGAAAGCACATGGTTTCTAGAAGATCTTAAAGAACGTCACATTGATTTACAAACCCGATCAATGCGGGAAAACTTGTATTTTCTAGAATACCACTAACAAACCCTGACGAAGAAAGTGAGGAATCTGAACAAATGTTTATAAACTTAATGAAAACCAGATTAAGAATGGAAAATCCAGTTGAATTCGAATGTGCTCAGAGCTTCGGTAAATCCGACAAAAAATTGAGACCGATTGTTTGTAGATTTGAAAACTTCAAGGATCGCGAAATAGTTAGAAAATCAGCCAAGGAGTTAAAAAGAAAACAAAGTACGGGATAAGTGAACAATATCCGAAAGAAATAAACGACAGGCGTAAAGCATTATGGCCTTACTTCAAAGAAGCAAAATAAAATTGTTGGTCATTTCTAGAAGATATCTGAAAACGGGTAAGAATTAAATATCGATGTAGGTGGTAATTTTTTCTGTCATGTAGAAGTCTGTCGTTTTGTTTCTGTCCTATTGACATATATTGCGTATATCCTTTTTTTGATATGTGGAGAAAAAATTGACAGACAAGCAGACACTAAATTTTAAATCAAGAAATCATTTCTGCGGTTCGAAAGGGTCTTATTCGAGCATATTAACTGTGAGACTAAATACTTTCTTGCTTTTTTTGTTCAATCAAGGTTAAACAACCGCAGAGATAGGAAAAAGGTAAAATGCAAATTTTAGTAATTCATTTTTTATATAGGTACAAAAAATATTTCAAAACCTAGTCGCTAAATTTTTGAATGATGACGTAGCTGTTACGAAGGAAGGAAATGTTTTTTTTTTGGAACGCAATATTAACTTAAATAAAAGAAATTATATTCCATGTAACCAAACATTTTGGAGGGTTGAAGCAGTATGTGTTTTTTCCGTATTCCATGTGGGTTTTGTATCGTTTCCATTTCATTGTATGAATTAAGACAAACAATACAAATAGATTTAGCATAACTTTTTATTACTGTCAATCTGTCTGTTGTTAATTGTCTTTAAGCTCAGCTGAAAATAGATTAGATTGAGTCATTTGTATATTGGCATTTATTTTGACTATCATAAACTTTATGCTCGAAACTATTGTAATCGGATCTGGTATACCTCTATACTAAATCCCTAAGTTTTTAAATCGATCATGTATTCACCGTCTGAATTTATACGTTTGTTTTTTTATGATCGAATCATATTTATTATTATTTAAAAAGGGGATGTTCTGATACCGTTTGTGACTAACTTTAAACCTAGCTAAGTTTTCTGCAGTGAATACGGTTAGCTTAACATCTTAGATGATAATGGTCAGACAAACACAAGACTAAACAAGACCTTAATCCGAGTTTCCATGATGAACAAGGCACCACGTTTACTTCTTCAGTTCACTTGTTGTGGCACCTTTCTGTTTCAAATTTCATGTTGATTTGTTAAATTTTCACCAACTCTCAGTTGCATCTTATATTTAGAATGCTACGTTATATCTGCTGTACATTATTTTCATACTGTTCTGCAATTTTCTTTATAATCTAAACTCATACATATAAAAAATTATGAAATAATAACAATTTCTTAATTATCTGACGTTCATGCATATGAATTGGTATTTCTATTGTAAAATCACAGAAACGCCTTCTTGGTCTAATCTGTAGAAGCGTGGATATAAATATAAGAACAAATATATATTTAAAGTATGTATATGTACTTCGCCCCAAGACTGTATAACTACAGTATTTATAACTTAAGTGATTACATACCAAGTTCAACTTCATTTTCGACTGAACGTCTACCTTCTGGTTTATAACACATTGAACATGTGCATACAGTCCACCATTTACAATAACCTCCATAACATGACAGTCTACAAAATTACTGTGCACACTTCCAATCATTTGGGCAACCATGTCCTGCCTCAGCAGTTGGGATAACTATAAGAAGATCAGAATTAATGAATATCATTCACACTGTCTTCTTGGTGTTCGTTGATCTTTAAATACTTTATTTTAAAATTTGCAAAACATGAATTGCATTTTTTCACTTGCAAATTTATATCGTTCCATCACTTGAATTCGAACTCGTAAAACTATTGCGATAGCGACGACAATGCCACTCCACGGATTCCAGTACCTTATACCAGATGGCGAATAAGGTTATAAAAAACTCATATAAAATACAAAGGCATTTATAAAGTACGCCGGAGGCGCGTTTTGTTCACATAAGACTCATGATTGTCGTTTTAAACAGAACAGTAGAAGGATAAATTGATTTTCGAGCTTCTATAATAAAAATTCAAATATAAAGTTGTGCCAAATCTTTCTGTAAAACTTCAGCTTTACATAGGTTTGTAAATTCTTCAAAATTTGGTGACTATGTTGAACTCATCTATCCAATCGAACTTGAAATAAAGGATACAACTGATACAGTTAAGTCTGCCTCATATCTTGACTTACATCTAGAAATTGACAATGAGGGTCGGTTGAAAAAAAACTTTACGTCAAAAGAGATGATTTCAGCTTCACAATTGTGAACTTTCCATTTCTATGTAGCAACATTCCAGCAGCGCAGCGCACACATACGGAGTATGAACCTCTCAGTTGATACAATATTCCTGGGCTTGTGTTTCCTATCAATATTTCATTGATAGAGGGTTTCTGCTCACAAGGAAGCTATTAAACCAAGAGTTCCAAGAGACGAAGTTGAAATCATCCCTTTTTAAGTTTTACGGATGCCATCACTTGGTTGACCGTTATGGAATATCTGTTTCACAGATGACGACCGATATGTTCCAATTGTCGTAACTACAATCTCGTCACCTTCCCCCGAATGTGACCTTCCTAATTAGACATATCACCGGGTTTTTACTTACATGAACAACACGATGGATGCCACATGTGGAGCAGGATCTGCTTACCCTTCCAGAGCACCTGAGATCACCCCCCAGTTTTGGTGGGGTTTGTGTTGCTCAGTCTTTGGTTTTCTATGTTGTTTTGTGTACTGTTGTTTGTTTGTCTTTTTGTTTTTTAGCCATGATGTTGTCAGTTTATTTTCTACTTATGAGTCTGAATGTCCCATCGGTATCTTTCGCCTCTCCCTTAAGTAGTTTACCGATCTTCAAATCTACCAAATCGATTGTGAAGAGACTGACCAACGTAACAAACAAAATCAGCAGCGAGACCGGGTGCGTCAAAAGTTTTAGCGTCAATTTAAATCAAATCATAATTACAAACTTGCAATCATTCAAAATCTTCTAACTTTTATACTTTAATTGATTCTTATCTAAAAAAAAGAAGAGAAAACTCGTTATGAATCTCGAAAATAGAATATCGTTGCAGCATATATGTTTTTCATTATCAACATACTTTAAACAAAAATGGTTCAAATACCAGCATTACAAAGAAGATTATAACATAATTGTTCTCCTACATACCAAATTTAGATAAAAGCTTGGGTCAAATCTTGCTTTAAAACTTTAGCTTTCGAAAGACTGTCGATACCTTTACTTTTAGGTTTCTAAATTAATGCCATAGTGTTAAACACTGATGATAAAATCTCGTAAATCGATAAAGAAGAGACAAATCAAGGTAATGAACAGTTTATTTTGTAAAATAGTACATAATGATTTGGAGATCGTATATCTGTGCAGTTTATTCATATTTCAATATATCGTAAGTAAATATACATATATAAATGAAGATATAAATAAATTTTGTTCATTCAGATAAAAAATGGATATTTTGTAAAAATTCAATCATACGATCTTGCAATTATATTGTCATATCAGTTCTAAAGGACACATTTGGTATCAAAATTTGCAAGTAAATGAATCGATTGATTGAAGTTCAATATTGAAATGAAGATGAGATGATTGACGAAAAAACACAAATTGGTCACAAATAGTATTTACTTTTGAAAATCTATGATTCAACCTGATTTGACATCAAGGTTTTACGGTTATATTATTAAAATAAAACCTAAATTATCCTTTAAAACTATTAGTCCTTTCTGGCTAAATGGACATTTTTCGCACCAAATATATTTTAGGAGTAAGGTGTTATATCAGTACTGATTTAAATTTTTATTTGTACGTTCTTCCACGTACCTTTTCTTATTCGATGGGATATAAAAAAATAAACCCAGTTTAATTCCACTACGTGTTAAGATATATCGAGCACAAGCCTATCCGAGTTAAGATACTGCCACAGTAGATGAGTGTTTATTGGAAATATTCTATTGTCTCTATTGAAGTTTTTCACTGCTATTTCTATAGTTGCGATTTAAAACGTTGATGCAATCAATTTTCGTAGAATTTTCATTTTCATTTGAATCGATGTACAAATGTATTTTGATCACGATCGATTCTGTTTGATTCTCAATACTGACTATTTGGATAATTAAGATAAGCAAATAAAACGCATGCGTACGTGACATATCGCGATTCATTTTGGAAGTATGTTTAGATCGATAGTTGTAATAACACCATTTTAAAATGGATTACAAAACTAAAACGCTAAATGATTTAAAAAGTGTAAATAATTAAAGATGTGTTAATACAGGGGGAGCTACTATATTGTACCAAAAAGGGATCGAAAACGAATGAGAAAAATAATCTTTAACAATTCTGTGATCAGCAATGAATGATATCATACGAACCCCCAGAGACCACAATGTTTTTAGGCCTTCAGATGTACACAAAAGGAATATTCAATTAATGATTTTCACTTAAAAAATGTATTTGAACAAAATCATTATTTTCTATCGTGATCAAGACTGCTCTATTTAACAATAAGGAGGTTTTTCTTGTAAAGGTCAATGATATGGCACACCAAAATGACATGCTAAAGAAAAACAAACATATAAAGGCATGTTTAGCGCAATGAAACCTTAACAAAACAAGTAACGACTATGTTCTAAAATAACATACTTACCAACCAAACCAGCAAGGAGAAGAGAAATCACCATTTTCGACATTTTTGTTGTTAATAACAGTTCTGCAAAGTACAGAGAAAATTGATTGCCTCTCATGAAACTAATGCAGAGTAACATCAACTAGGTTAATCATTTGAAAGATTTTCTGTAAACAAATTTAACTATAAATCCACGTATAAAAATATGAAAGATGAATACTAATTTAAGTTACCACGTATTTTGAAATGATTTAGATGAATACACGTTTTTCTTGCTAAAGATTTAACAAACTAAAAATCTAAAAACATTATTATTTTAAAATCTGTTCAAAATCTAGAACGAAGGTGATTAAAATAACTTTTTTACCTGCACAACCAGTGGTTAATATTTGAATACACTATTAGCGCGATTTAGTCAATATATATTGCCAAAGTATATTGACTGAAATTTCTCAAATTCATTAATATGTGGAATCAATTAATATGTTCCAAGAATAAAAGTTTGATCAAGGATACATACAATTAACTAGAAACTGACACTTTTTAACAGAATTTGTTCTAATTTGAAGTTTAATTTCTCATACGCAACTTAACTCGTTCTTGAGAGACGCTTGACATTGTTGCAATAATTCACCCTTTTAAGTAACAAAGTAGAATTATTGATATTTGATTTTGTTATTTTAACAAAAAATTGTCCAAGCAATTCCCAAGGTTTGTTTTTATAAAATATAAGATATATCGATATGGAAGTATACTTTATTTAGTGTTGGTTTTAATGCATTGGTAAGGTCTGTTTAAACATACTGTTTGTTAGGATTCTGTTTAACCAATATGTACATGTTTATGTCTGTATTGCATACAGGCCAACCTAGTTTTTGTATATAACTCAAAATGTACATATCACACCACATATTCTTATTTTCATAAATAATTGAAAAAAATCATTTTCCTGCATATATACTTTCAAAATATAAGTCAATAAAATTTCATAATAACCAGAACATTGAAGAATATAGATAGAGTTAGCACACAATGTTTGTGCAGGCATATCGAAATGTACTGTAAGTAGGATTAATAAAAGTATTAGGAGAACAATTATGTTAAAATCTACATCCGAATGCTAGCATTTGAACCCGCTATATAAATGTGGACAATGAAAAACAAATATGCTTTTAAAATATTCTAAATTCCAGATAAGAACTTTTATCTATTTTAAATAAGAATAAATTAACGTTTAACATTAAGAAGATATGGTATGTTTCCAATGAGACAAATGTCCAGGAGAGACCAAAATGATATATACATAAGCAACTGTAGGTCATCGTACGCATTCAACAATGAGCAAATACCCTACCTAAGAAGAAATGTTTAATCTTTCAAGAATTACTTTAACGAAATCTGTATAACATAAAAAAAATATTAGTCAATTACTTAAAATACATTATAAATTGTTATAAATTTCATGTGTCTAAAAACTGGTCATTAATACAATTAAAATTAGGATCTGCATTAAGGACAAAATCTCAGACACATGATATTGTATTAGATGGACAATTTATAGTGTATTTTAAGTCATTTTGATTGGCGACAGCTCGTGTAGGACTTAGTTAAAGGGATATTCATCGTTGAATAGAAAAGCAATTCATCGTACATTTTCAATTTTTAAGAATATTTGCTATTCCTTGAATTAATCTTACCCAATTAGTTCATACTGATTCTGTATTAGTCTTCCTACAGTCGTATTTGTTCTCGATCAGCTTTTAATTGTTATATTAAGTCATTGGTTAAAACGATGTCATGCAATGGGTAATTTCATACTAATCCTTTATTAATTTCTCGTACAGTCGTATCGGGTCTCTAGCTGATGCAGCTAACCTCGACCAAATACGAGAGTTCTTGGACATAATTCAGAATCAATTTGAAAACACCCATGGAATTACACTATAATATGAAAAATATATTAAAAGAAGAACATGATTCACCAAATGTATAAGAAAATACAACGAACAAACCCAACCATCAACAACCGACTTAAAAAGACGGAAAAAACAGCACCTAAAGAGTTACATTCAAACGTCCACCAGGATGACCCAAACTTGATCAAGGAATAATAAAAGGCGGCATATGATTGGAAAATGGGCTCTCGACAACTAGAAGCAGCATAAGGTAGAACAGTTGCTAATTGAATACTACCGCTCAAGGAAAAAAGGCAACACTTCCGACAGGATTCTTGAAGTCTCCTCATAAATTTAACTGAAATTGGCTGTATTTGTCAGAAGCCAGAAAGTATTAAGAATTGTCACACCATCAGAAGAATAAATTTCAAACTATATTATGTACATCATAATAATATTACTATTATATCGTTATTATTTTATCACGACTATAACCCTTACCGATGAAGGATGAACGTCCTATCTCTGATTTGTATAAAACTGACACATCTAGCAGTAATTTTAACAGGATAATGCACAAATTCACGACAGCCTTTATCATCTGTCGTGGACATTTTATTTTGCCAATAAGAAACCACGCCTTTTTCTTACTGCTGAAAGCTAAACGCTAATTCGAAATAAGACAAACACATTTTTTAAGAGAATTGTGGACAGAGTAGTATTGAAATGATAACACAGATAAATACTTATCGAAATATGTGTTTCATTTCACATTTATATTTATTGCAACCTTTACATAAAATTTAAGCATTTACTGAAATTTCTTTTTGACAATTAATTTAATGGGTATATAGATTCCAAACGACAAGTGCCAAATGAGATATTCCAATCAAACCCGAATTGTTTCATTTCGCTGCACTAGTTCACGCTTATTTATCTCCAGCAGTGTACTTTCACAGAAGATGATATTAGAAATCCTTCCTCCCCCCAATAATTAAAACATAATTTGGATAAAAAAGAAATGTTTTGTAGGGTCTCCTGTTCGTTTTCTGTTAGAGATGCAATCAGATGATTTTTGCTTTGAAACAGTTTCCAAAGATAATCAAACTTAACCTTCAACCATGTTCTTTTTATACACTATTTAAAAAAAATCAAACATCAAGATATAATGTTAACACTTGCATATGATCTTATGAATGACCGTATGATACAAATAACTCCTTATAGAGGTTTATTAAACTTTATTATGTACGAATACCCATTACTAAGAGACGTCCTTCCAATAGCGATGCACCTTTTTTCGGTCAAAATACAGACATTTTTGATAACAAATCGATCTTTTATAAGTGTTATTTCCTGGTAATTCATAATTTATTTGATATTATTGATGAACAGTTTCAATGAATTTTAATTCTAGAACAAATACACAATCAATAAACATACATTTTTTTTCTCAATCTGTTTATGATGACAAACCAACCTTGTGTGTTTGTGCTAAACTCTTCCGAACGCTAAAAGTGAAATTCCCGAAAAACATTTTTTCGTTTTTTCGTTTAAAACTTTCTTTTTTAGTCATGTATTAAGGTTAGAAAATTAACATGTACCAATGTTTATACATTTGGTACTGACTAGAGAAATTTTACCTCTAGCATTTTGACAACAGTTAAACGACGGGTGTCGTATTCTTTCTTTGTCATGGATGTAATCACATTCAATTATATAACATTACAAATATTCCTTTATTCATATTATCAATATCCTTAAGAATGTATTAAGTTAAATGACCGTTGTGTTTTCACTTTCTTTAATGCTATCCCGTTTTTGTGCAAAATTTTAAATCCCGTTCGATCAATTTATTTTATTCTTATCTCATCTATGCATATTTTATTTCCTGTATAAATTGTGAGTGCACAACCATTTTGATTCCTTTTTTGAAATAAAAGTTATTGTTTATTTTCATTCACAATATTGATAAAATTCAAAATATATAATTTAGTTTCTTGAAATAAAGAATATGTGTGTTTGAATACATTTTAGCATTACTTTTAAATTTTTGATCGATCATTGTGGGTTTGTTTTTTTCAGTATAAATGATCTGTCATTTTAAAAAATCGGGCATGTGAATGTACTAGGAACTTCAAATGTGCATGATGTTTTTTTCAAGCAAAGCATCATATCTGAAAGTTTAATTAATGAAAGAAGTTCTTTACCTTTTTTAAAATTTTTCAATGAACTATCTTTGAGGTGACAATATGTTGTCCTCTACATGTTTCAAATTGTACGTTTGAGTTCATGGCATCTTTTCTTTTAATATGTGCGTCATCAATAATGAAAAAAATACACTTCCTTGTAATATCATTTGGAGGATGTACGTACACGAAAATATTTCTTTTTGAGATTGTGGGAAAAGAGAATATACATAACGTACATAAAGAATTGCAATCCTGTTATATTGCTATTTTCTCTATTGTTATATGTTGCACCGTATAAACCTGAAGACTGATTACTAGTGGGTCATGAAGAAAAAAGCGGACGATACCAGAAGGACAATAATAACTCATATGTCGAAGAGAGCTCGAGACTGACAAAAACATTGTTAAAAAATGCAGGTCACATATCATCTCAACAGGATCAACATATCATCTTCCATCATTAATTAATTGGAAAAAGTGCCATAACGTCATTCTTATGCAGAAATTTGTATGTAAACAACTGAAATCGGATAAAAAAAGTATCTATACAAAAGACAAGCCAGAAATATAATTTTATTAAAAAACTACAAAAATATACATACTCATACAACTAAACAATATATTTGGCGTACGACTGTCTCAACACTATAGCGTACATGATCATATCATTCGAATTTTGTAAACAAATAAAAATTGTGTAGTTGTAGGCAAAGTGCGGTTTACTTGCAAAAATAACTTATAACTAGTCAGCTTGGCTGGTTAGTGCCCAGTTTCTATTAGTCTGAAGATACTACGGACACACTATGATATGCACTATCTGCTCCCCTGGTTCGTTCCAAACCATGTGAATGATAAGCATATTAACTGTGGCTCTCCTATATATAGCCAAGAAATAGTAGAAAGCCAGAGAGGACCTATCTGCGAAAATTATTAGCACAAGCCTTTGTCTGAGTTTTCTAGCCAGAAAACAAAATGGCAAGACGTGCTAAAGTTAGGACGTGAGTGACCACGGAATACCCTGTAAATCTGTGATTTGAATGAAAACTGGAAATGACCCACACACAGATCTAATAGTATTAAAACCTGAACATTTTACTGATACTACAATAAACTTAAAATCTAAGAGTGATTAATCTTATGACATGCGAACAGAACAATGTATAACGCATTTAATCTACTGGTTGTGGAGGGGAGAAAGGTGGTTAACAAATAATGCCAAAGCGTACAACATAAACAATGTGAAATTAAAAGTTCTCACGTGTTAAAATAATTTTGTGTGGACAAAAAGCAATGGTAAACGAAAAGGGACAAAGTATCTTCTGTATAATACTGAA